CCCGGGGGAACCAGGACCAGAGGGTTCTGGGTTGGAGTCCCCGGGGGAACCAGGACCAGAGGGTTCTGGGTTGGAGTCCCTGGGGGAACCAGGACCAGAGGGTTCTGGGTTAGAGTCCCCGGGGGAACCAGGACCAGAGGGTTCTGGGTTGGAGTCCCCGGGGGAACCAGGACCTTTCTGGGTGGAGTCTGCATGTTCTCCTGTGTCTGTGGGTTCTCTCCGGGTTCTCCGGCTTCCTCCCACCCTCCAAAAACCTGCATGTTAGGTTGTTGGACTCCAAACTGCCCTCAGTGTGAGTGTGTGTGGTTGTTGGTCCTTGTGTGTCTCTGTGTGTTGACTCTCACATAAAACTGACCTGCTGATAATGAAGCGGTCGTCCTCAAAAGAGTGGACAGGAGACGGAGGGATGAGGCGTCCGTCCTTCAGCCATCTGAAGTCCACGTGGTTTCCGGTTCTCAGTTCACAGCGGAGCTCCGCCCTTCTTCCCTCGTAAAACTCCAGAGACCCCGACGGCACAATCTTTGCCTCCGTTACCGGCTCTGTGGGACAAATACCCAAATCCAGATTGGTTGTCGACTGGTTTCCGGGATGGTCCGGCCCGAATTTGTTAGTTTGATTATAAAATTTCTGCTTCACACCACAGAGCTAAAATCTAAACTCTCCAAATGTGTTAATCTGTTTCCATCCAAGTGACACAAAACACAAAGACCCCAAAGGATCCTGGACCAGGACCCTCTGGATCTTTATATCTTAATGTCTTAATGTTTTGGCTGACCTGGACAGATCCACCACCCGGAGCTCTTTCTGATGCCATAAAACTCAAGTTTTACTTTGAGTAATATATATTTTTCTGTTTAAATATTTTGTTCATCTATGATGCTGTTTGAATTTTTTTTATTTTGGGAAGTTGGTTGTGTTTTTCAGGTGTTTTTCTTAGGTTTCTTGCTATTCATTTGTTAATTAAGTACTGATTTATCTCTGTTCAGAGCTCACTCTCTGGTTGCATAACTTGTGTTTTAGAGTTATTGATTCATCTGGATTCCTTCTGTTTTTTCATGTTTAGTGTATTGTTTTAAACTTTGCTTTGGGTCAGTTGGTTCTGTCCCACCTTAGCTCGGTTATATTTCCTTTACTCGTGCAGCTATCCTCAGTCTCTCTGTTTTAGCATCAGCTGTATTCAATTTCAGCTGTTCTGCGTCTTTCCTCACAGTATCTCTAAAACAGCTCTTTTCTTTTTCGGTTTAAAAAGCAATCCGAAAACACAATAAAAGCAGTGAAAGTCTAACAGATGGCCAAACAAAGGGCCCTCTCCAAGCCTCATGCAGTGGTTGATGTGCTTTACAGGATCATTTCCTAAAAGGGACTTGTTAGAATTTGGCTATAATTACTCACTTTAGCATTGTATGCTATCACATGATCTATGTAAATTACTGATTGTTTTATTTTCTTTTATAACTATAACTTTTGTGTTGAAGTCTCTGGCTGTGTCCACAGACTCTCTTTTCTCTCTTTTTCTCTCTCTGTTGCATTAGATCCACCTTTAGCTCAACACACACACACACACCATTTGTTACCACATTCCTGTCATCTGCATGAATTAGGACCTGGCCTGTTCATGCCCAGAGGTAACTGGCCAATAGGACTTGGTTGTGTCCAGTCCTCCTTTGAGGAGGCGGATCGAGCCCAGGAGATAATGCCCATCACCCAGATCTCAGGGCTCTTTGCCCACTGAGACCCAGAGAGAGGTTTTAGTCTGTCAGAGCCCAGCTGATACACTTAACTGTGTCCAATAAATGTCACCTTCATACTTTTGATCCACTCTGGTTTGTTCTCAGGTTTCCATCTAAAGAATCGGGCTAACAGACTCACCGATAACCTTCAGAAAGTGCACGTTGCTCACGGAGGAGTTTATCTGTTGGGTGTTGTTCTGCAGGCTGGCCACGCACACCAGGAAGCCCTCGTGCACACGCTTGATTGATTTGGGAATTACGGCGACTTCCTCCCCGGCCAGAAGGGTGTATTCGCCAAACAGGTCTTCACGCTCCCCCCTCCTGTAAGAGGCTGGTTTTATTAGTGGATTTAACCCTATAATGCCAAATGTATCATATCTGATTCATACGGTTTCTGAAGTCTTTTGGATCTGAGACTTTTTGCATCATTCAGTGGTAAAAGCTTTGCTCAAACCCCTGTTGTACACATTCAGATTTACCTGATAACAGTCAGTAGAAGACTACACCAAAATATGATTTTGACTTATTGCACGTTAATTTGATCAAAACTATTTCTGTTTTTTTTCTTCACATGTTGTTTAGGGGGCAAAGAAAGACTTCACACTAAAAAAAATCCAATATTCTTAATATTTTTCTTGGATCAGGCTTTAAAGGGTTCAACTAAAGCCATGAATTTGAATCTCCTTACTTGAAAAGCCGGAGCAGGATGGACTGATTTCTGGGGTTTGGAATTTCACATCTGAACTCTACAGCTTTTTTCACCAAAGCCTCGGAGGGTCCGGATAGATATGGACTCTCCAAAGAAATCCCACCTGTCAAACAGACATAACCGTGACTCCCAGGTGTGCGTTTCTGTGGAAGGACGAAGCTAAAAACAGAAACAGAAGCTTACCGCTCTCCCCGGGGCAGAAACTCAGTCCTGCACACACAAACCAGACAAGAGATGTTTGGCTGTTATAAAAAAAACCCGGCACCTCCTAACCAAACAAGCTTTACACACATTATACTGCTCATAGTTTCATCTAAGTTATTGTGTTAAAGTGTAGGGTCACACTTACAAAACAAACATTCAACCATTGATTATTATGCAAAAGAAAGCAATACGAGTAACGAATAACAAACATTATAGAGATCACACTCACTGTTTATTCCTTGATTAGTTCTCAAATTTGCAGATCTGATCAATTTCAGAACCGCTCAAATTCTTTATAAAGCAAGAAATAACTTACTTCCAGCGCACATACAACAATTGTTTTCTGATAGAGATGGAAAATATAATCTAAGAGGAAAATTAAATTTCAAAACTAAGTATGTTCGAACAGCAAAAAGAAGCTTTAGTTTATCAATTAGCGGAGTGAAGCTCTGGAACAGCTTGCCTGAAAACATTTAAAAAGCATCCAGCAATTCAAAAAAGAATATAAGAAAAGTATTTTTGATGAATACAAAAAAGTAATATATAAAAAGTTATACTGTTTGTCTTACTGTAAATAATTGTCCTTTACCACCATGACACATGTAACTGAGGGGTAGGGCTTAATAAATAAGCTTATGCTTCATCCTGCTCCTTTTTGAAACATGATGCATGTTTATGAAGCATTCAATGTAAACATTGTTAAATCATATCATTTTTCGAAAAAAATGAAATTAAATTAAATTAAACGAACGAGACGTCTCAGAGAGAATAAAGAGTTTCTGTTTAACGTGAATAGGTTTGTGTCGCTTTGCTTACCCACAACGAGCAGGAAGACGGATCCATGCATGGTGGGGGGACAGATATCTCTATAACTCAGTGATGGGTTTCTAAATGTTGGGTGCAGGAGGGAAGGTTTTTGGCGGTTTTTACTGAGACGTGTGTCAGAAACTGATAGCAGGGAAACTCCTCCTGATGCTCCGTCCCGCCCATCAGCTCCTCATGTTGCTTTCTTTTTAGTTTTTTATATTTTTAACAGAGGGACAGGGAAGAAAGAAGAGCAGTGGGAAGGGAGAGAGATCCTTTTGTCAGAAAGAGAAAGGGGGGTAAAAAAGGAGAAGAAGAAATAAAGACAACAAGACCTCAAAACCAAGTGCTATGACTGTAAAAATGACTCTGTTCCTTGTGGGAAATCCGGGTGGAGAACCTGTAGGAGCTCCTGCAAAAGGACTCAGGGAAGAAA